TTGTTACTGGTGGGGAATTTAATCCATCTTGTTGGCTCTCCTTGTAAGCTTCACTTCTACATCAATTCCATGTCCTTTTCTCATCCACTTCATTATCCAAGGTAGTGCACATCTCCGAACATCGGCTGAAGACCTACTCATAGCTGAGCAAAGGAGCCTGATGCAAGGAACTGAAAGTCCAGCTCTTAGAGAATCAGGGGTTCTGTCTCACTCACACTGGTCAGTGGAGTTGAACCATAGTTGGGATCCAAACCCAAGTAACTCTACCCATGATGTTTGTACTATTCCATGCTATCTCAGCACAGAGAGAGGGAAGGACTTTGTTTCTTGGAAACCGTATCTGCTGGAATGGTTCAGATGAACTGGGCCCAAAGACAGAGCCTTACGTAATTTGGAGAATTTACTTTCAGTCCCATTGTTCTATTATGGCTTTAATTGATCAATTCACTAGAATTGATCAGTTATGAACAATATTGCCTATGCGACGCTTAAATTAGTGCCAGCTTGAACTGTAGCTGGAACTTACAGATATCCCTTAGTGCTCTGCTGCAAGATATATTTAAAGTTAACTGGGTTGCAGATGTGTGATTCTTTTGTAGAAGCAAAGCGCATATTCTGTGAATTTCCTCCCACAAAAATTGCCTAATTTAAGAATTGAAGTTTTCCTGCTTTTCCAGTAAACCAAAAGGCAGTGGTACAAGTGAAGCGATTAAAAAATAAACAACTTAGAAGGACGCCTGGGTGGCTCAGTTGGTTAAGCAGCTGCCTTCGGCTCAGGTCATGATCTCAGCGTCCTGGGATCGAGTCCCACATCGGGCTCCTTGCTCGTCAGGGAGCCTGCTTCTCCCTCTGCCTCTGCCTGCCATTCTGTCTGCCTGTGCTCGCTCTCTCTCCCTCTCTCTCTCTGACAAATAAATAAATAAAATCTTTAAAAACAAACAAACAAACAAACAAAAAAAACAACTTAGAAAAAAGTTGACAGGTACAGGTGTCTGTGCTAGAACTGGTTTAAAGATACCTGGAATAGAAATTTTGGAAAATGAAAATGAGGACACACTCAGAAATGAAGAAAGAACAGACTGATGAAAGATTAAACACGTTCCACTTTGACTAGAAAGCACTGGGAAAATGAGTGTAACATGTAAGTTTTGTAACTTCTATGGAGTTTATCTTAAAATGCCTTTCATATTTAATATTTTAATGTTTTACGGAGTATATTTTAACAGGAGAAGATTGTAAAAAATAAATGAATCTCATGTTAACTTTGTATTCTCTTCAAATACATAAGTAATATTCTGCAGTGCTTTTAGATCTAAGCTTTTATCTCTCTTTCTGCTCTAAACTTGATTTCTAATCATTCAGTTTAAGGCATTTAGTTTTATCCTACTCGGAAAAACCACGATTATTCATTTGCCATGTGTTTAAAAACCATAGCATGGTTAATTCTCTGATGTCCTTTTATTTAAAAAACATTTTAAAGATTTTATTTATTTACTTGTCAGAGAGAGAGCACAAGCAGGGGGAACAGCAGGCAGAGCAGGCAGAAGGAGAAGCAGGCTCCCCGCTGAGCAGGGAGCCCGATGTGGGCTCTATCCCAGGACCCTGGGATCATGAGCTGAGCTGAAGGCAGATGCTTAATCCACTGAGCCACCCAGGCATTCCTCTGATATCCTTTTAAAAAGGATAATGTAATACAAATGCTTGAAGTCCTTCCTCTTCCCATTGCACACTCTCATAAAAGTAGAAAATATGTAGAACATTAGAAAATATTTTGGACTGGGGCACCTGGGTGGCTCAGTGGGTTAAGCCGCTGCCTTCGGCTCAGGTCATGATCCCAGGTCCTGGGTTCAGGCCCCACATTGGGCTTTCTGCTCAGCAGGGAGCCTGCTTCCTCCTCTCTCTCTGCCTGTCTCTCTGCCTACTTGTGATTTCTCTCTGTCAAATAAATAATATATAAAATCTTAAAAAAAAAAAAAGAAAATATTTTGGACTAAGTTCTATTCTATTTTTTGTCAATGACTTTGACAGCAACACAGAAAACAGCTTTTGAGATACTGTGAAATCATCACATGAGTCACCAAAGAGAAAGGATGGTGCTATGTTAAGTTCCCAGACATCTGTTAAAGCGAGTTTTATTTATACAATTATTGTTTATTTGGGGATTTAGAAAAAAGACCCTCATTTTGAGCCTTGAGGCATCCATTCCATTTACAAACAAAAGTCACACAGACCAAATGAAATACAATTTCTCCTGCATAACCCTCTGCAGAGAGGCAGAAAAGCAAGCAAGCGAATGGGAGTAATGCATGTGTGGTCTGGGTCTGGTTGATAGCTACTAAGCACAGGTAAGAATTTTGGCTCAGGACTGTAAAGCAGGGCTGCAGGGCCCTGACACAGGGCATCAAGACTAGAAGGAGATCTGCAGGGCCCTGACACAGAGCATCAAGACTGGAAGGAGATCTGGGCTCACTTCATTGATCTCTTTGAGGTTTAGACTCTATTTGGAAAATGGAGTGAAATGGGTATAATTGAGGTGTGTCTCAGCTGCAGTTAATTTTTAGAGATGAGCCTAGACTTCTTCGGTGGAATTTCATAACCCGAGACACATGGTGGATTTTCCAAGCTTCTTTCTTGACACAGTCCACACATGTGGGGTTCTCAGGGTAAGCACCCTCCTGATAGGCTGTTCCGCAATGGACCATTCCCTGCATGCAATAGCTTGCTTTCACGGAAGCAAATTGGAATGCACATGCATAGAAATGACTTTGTTATAAAAGAACTCAGCCACTTGGATTTCTAAGACAAAAAAGCATGAATAAATATTGTTGCTTTGTTACTAATAAAACATTCCTTATCCTTGATCCTCTACACCAGCGTGTCATGACCCTTACGTTGGGAAGACTGTTCTTTTCTTTCTTAAATAAGAGGATAGGGGAAGAGGAAGTGGTGCCTGTCTCAGATAGCTTCATCTTTTCATCTTTCCTGGATTTTGGGGAACTCAGAGATAAAAGGAAACTCCCTCTTTCCTCCAAATCCCTTATAAAATCCCAAAGATGAGTCCGATGCTCTTTCTAGTCATATGCCCATCCCTGTTCTTGTTCTTGTAGCTAGAGGCATGAGGTCCTTTGGTCAGGCTTGGGTCAGGTGATGCTGGCTCCACACAGCAGCTCAGAGTAGAAGGGTTGCTGTGGATGCTAAAGTTTAGGAGGAAATGAAAGACATATGGTGGATTTGCAAAAGCAGATGTCCACTACATGGAGTGCTAATCTGAATGTCATTTCATTATTTATCTTACAGAAAAATAATAGATAATGGTATAAAGATACTTCGAAGTTAGTACATTCTTTCTTAACAAGGATCTGAAAGAGCTCATGTTTAAAATAAACACCAAAGCTTAGACTTCATTTGCCAGTGTCAGTACTCAAAGGAAGAACCCTTTCATTTCTTGTTTAGACTGTTGCCTAAACAAACCTAAACAACCTGTGTCTGCTTTGTTCATTGCTTTAGCCTTGACACAAAGTGCATAGGAGATGCTCCATAATGCTTTGTTGATTGAATGAATGAACAGTGATTTTTCTACCTCCAATTTACAGGTAAATCTTCCTAAACATGGCTCTCATTAAGTCTTCTGCTCGGAAACTTACTAGTGCCTCAAAACATAAGGAATTAAGTACAAGTCTGATCACAAGTTATACAAAACCCTGAATACATGGATATTATCTTTCCTTCTAGCCTTATCACGTATGCCAAAATAAATTGCTTGCTAATTTCTTTTCTTTTTCTCAAAAATATGGAGCACTTCACAAATTAGCATGTCATCCTTGCACGGGCGCCATGCTAATCTCTGTAGTGTCCCAGTTATAGCGTATGTGCTACTGGAGCAAGCATTTGCTAGTTTCTATACAAACCTCACACATACCTGTGCCTTTGCTCATGCTGATCTTGCTACTATTCCATTATTTCTACTTGTAACATGCAGATTGTATGCCATGTCCCTCATGAAACTGTTCTGAATTTGCCCTGTACCATGGAATTTGGTCCTCCTCTGCTGGTACTTAAATTCTATTCTTCCTTTTACTGTAGTTGTTTGTATTCCAGGAGGCTACAGCCGGATACTAAGGTGTCTTGGTGTCCCCAACAGTACTTGGCATTGTGTCTGGCACCGAGCACTTGGTAAAAAGGAATTGTTGAATTCAAATGAGATAATCTGTAGGGCAGGTATGTAGTTACAGAGCACTAATTAGGGCTACATTTGTAGAGGGACTGGTTTGCAGATGGTAAGAAACCAGTGAGGGTGTTTAAAATCCTCTTTCTAATTATTCTTTGATTTGAAAGTTAAGAGGGTCCTAAGGTAATTATAATTTTGTGTGAGAGAAAAGCGTTTTCTGGAAAAGTCTTGCTTTATGCCACTGTGTCACTATAGTTAAATCTTGGTGATTCTATTTTACTTTATATCTAGTGAATTTCCACTATCCAAGCCTCACACTTGAGAAAATGAGCCAGAAGAAGTAACACTTAATAGAAATCTCTGAAGAAGATTCATATTAAAATTTCCAGTAAGGGCAGAGCTTCTGTTTTCCGAGGCAAATGAGTGTTTTAAAATTTCTTCATGGTGAACATGTTTTCTATCTAGTACCAAATATGATGGAACATATTTTCCAACAACATGGGTTGGGAAGTCTAGAAATTTCAGGAGCACAGATGTCTTCTTAGCATCTTTTCCTACCCAATGTAAAATCTGACAGCTTTTTTAGGGTTAAACTTTGGGTCTTTTGATACTTTCAACTTCTGGAGTGAAGAATGGATGGGATGTGGTAAATTGGATAAGTCATTGTAATAACTTCTTCTGGCTAAACATCTCTGAAGTCCACATAGAAAATGTCTCCTACAGGCAAGATAAATGGACAAATAATAGACTTAATAAATGGGCTACTGCTCCTCCTCCCACCCATCATTTCCACCAGGAGTCTTGACTCTGTTCTATTGATTTCCCTCGCCAGGTAGCAATGCTGATTTGCGCTGGCTTCCTGATTGCCTGGATTCCTTACGCGGTGGTCTCTGTGTGGTCAGCTTTTGGAAGGCCAGACTCCATCCCTATACAACTCTCTGTGGTGCCAACCCTCCTTGCAAAATCAGCAGCAATGTACAACCCCATCATTTACCAGGTCATTGATTACAAATTTGCCTGTTGCCAAACTGGTGGTTTGAAAGCAACTAAGAAGAAATCTTTGGAAGACTTCAGGTAAAATTTCAGAAGCCAGAAATGAATAATATTGTTTCAGAATCCTGTGGGGTTCAAGCCATTCTGATGTACTATCTTTTTAGGGTTAGAGCTCATCACTTAGGAGTAGCCTAAAGAGAATTTTCTGTTCATCAATATTCCTGAAATCAAGTCATCAGATATGTTGGGTTGGGAGTCATGTAGATAATGAGAAAATTAATTCCATTTTTAATTGTGGAGTGCCTAAGATAGGAAGCTATGTCCATTTTTGAGTGGCCACTATTTCTCACTCTTCCTTATCTGGGACCAAATCCATTTTACTCAAAGAGCATGGCTCCACATGGCATTGATTCAAAATTAAGTTCTCACAACAGAAAAGATTCTCCTGTTTGGGATGTTTCTACCATTAACTATGAGTATAGGATTTGGGCAGGCAAAGGAAGGAGAGAAAGGAGGTGACATTTTTACTCTCTGTCAGGTTCTTTATGTTATTTTCACAGGGGCCCCTATTGTACCTTCTCTTTGTCAGATAAGGAAATGGAGGTGCAAGTGAGGTTAGGTGAGCTGTTTGTGCTTACACAACCAGGAAGTACCAGGGCAGAGATTTAAACAGGTCTATTGGGTTTTGAAACAATCTACACTCTTTCTGCTATAAAATGAAAAAGTGAGTTTGGGGAGCCACAATTTTTCCTATAGGCAAGGGTGAGTAAAGAGTTGAGGATGATGTGTGGGCTTTGTGTCCATGCAGGGCCAGTCTTAGTGGTGGAATGTGGATCAGACACCTGGGTGCATGGTCTGAGGTGAGGGGTGTGGAAAAGGTCCAGATTCTCTGATTTCTATTAATTCTTACTCAGTAGATATGTAGTTATTTTTCCATGCTATTTTTCTTCATTAAGCAGGAAACAGAAGAGAACAAAAGGTAGAACTAGCTGGGAGAAGATGTTCTTTCACTATGCTTGAGCAATTGACAAATATTTTGACCTTTAGGTTCCTCACCATCTAGGGTACAGGATCAAATGAAAAAAAAAAAAAAAGAAAAAGGCATAAAGAAAAATATCTTTGTTATTGTGGTACAGGGGAAGAAATATACAATTTGGAGGTACAAGACCAGTGTTTGGTTTATTTTTCCATATCTTTGGGAAAATGAACACTAAGAGCCTAGAATTGAGAAGAACTGATTGCAACACCCATCTTTTGAAACTCTAAGAATTACACCAACTGCGTGTTTGGAAAGGGCTAGCTAACAAATGTTATTGGGTTTTTTTAGTTCCACATTGTTGGTGGTTAATGCCTTTTCTGTTGAATTGAATAAATTCAAATTCTAGGGACGCCTGGGTGGCTCAGTTGGTTAAGCAGCTGCCTTCGGCTCAGGTCATGATCCCAGCGTCCTGGGATCGAGTCCCACATCGGGCTCCTTGTTCTGTGGGGAGCCTGCTTCTCCCTCTGCCTCTGCCTGCCACTCTGTCTGCCTGTGCTCGCTCTCTCTCTCTCTGACAAATTAAAAAAAAAAAAATCTTTAAATTCAAATTCTAAAATGCATCTATTTTGGCAGTAATAACACTTTGCCCTTATCAACTATTAATACTTTATTTTGAATGCAGTTTAAAGAGAGTATTTTTAATAGAGCAGTTGTGGGAGAAAATAATGGGCATTTCTTCCTCTGAAAGAGGTGATGGGAATTTGACAGGAATGGCTGACGGCAAATTCTACCTACCTCATAATTTTGCCTTGGACCGATTCTGTGTTCTGTACATTAACTCTCAAGTGTGAGCAGCACATAAATATTCAACGCTCAATAATGAAAAGGAGAAATTTATGAGGAAGTCAGTGACTTGGGGCCGCGGACCTTTGGAGAAGCCAGCCAGGCAAGAATCAGTTCAGTTCTTCTGCTCCCATTAGCCATTTCTGTGAAATACAACAATTACTTTGCTGGAGGAAGACAAGTGCTGTTTCCTTACTCCAGAGTCTTGAAGCTTTCAGTGTAAAAAGCAGGCAGGTGGTAGGGCTTAAATAGGAAGGAGCCCTTGGATTTTCAAATTTGGAGTGTTGAAGAGGTGTGATGAGTTGCTGATTTTTGGAAGGATCTTTTTCAGGGAAGAACTTTGCAAAGAAGCAAAAAAACATTTTTTTGTTGTTGTTTATCTTCGCAGTTATTAAAGAGCTAAGAAAGTGGGTAGTATTGAGCGGATAGAATGAGGCAAAGTGGTCTGAAGCCAGTCCAGAGTTGTTAATGCACTACCAGAACAATTCAATCAAATTAACCTAGATTAATTGATATCCTTGTTTTTTCCTCTTCTGAGCTCTGAAATGAATTTGCTTATAATGGGAGACCCCCTTGGGAAGTATTCTGAATTCAGATAAAAAAGCTAATGTGTTGAATATGAGATTGTGGAAATATATTTTGAGTAATTTTTATAGTTCATTAAAAGTTAACTCATATTTTCCCCCTAAATTGGGTCCCTTGAGATTTTAGTAAAAGCTGGTGAGCTGCAGCAAAAAATATGGCCAAGAGCCCATCTTGAAATGCTATTATTCATCATATTTGGGTATCCAGATATAGTCTCCAGTATTTTCATAAACAGTGCTTCTCCACCCTGACTGTGGGTTAGAGTCAAGTAGGGAACCTTGAAAAACTGCCGCAGAGACCCCACTTGCAGGGATTTTGCTTCAGCTGGTCTGGACTGGCCCAAGCTTCATTCGTTTGTTTCATTGGTTAATTCTCCCAGGTGGTTCTCATACCCAGCCGTTGTTGAAAGCCAATGAACCAGAACCTGGGAAAGAAAAACATTGGGAGTGCTGCTCAGAGGCCTCTCCCCCAACCTACACAGAGACCACTGAGTGATAAGGGAACCAGACTTCAGGTGCTAGACCAATCTTAGATGCAATATAAGTGATCAAATGATACTGGGGGTACATAGTGAAGGACCAAGACATTTTTACTCTCCTGGTATTTTAGTAACAATATAGAACAGAAAACAGAGCCCTAAATTCTGGCATTGCCATTCTAATAAACCTCTCCTGACTACCTTAGTTTGAATGCTGTCATTCCAAAGAACACTCTTTGTAGGTAACTTACGGGGCCAACTGACTGGCAGGTCGATAGGGAGGCAATGAATTTTGTTCTAAGGAATGGGAAACCCACTGGGGCATAGGAAATGTGCCATGAACAAGTGACTTGTTTTTGGAAAGCTCCACTCAAGGGATTTCTTGATTTTGAATATTTTAAAGTGAATTATTATTATTTTCTTTTCTAATTCAAGTCTTGTGTATATAATCTTCTTGGTAGATGTGCCTACTATGATATACATACACAGTATGTGTGTGTGTGTGTGTGTGTGTGTGTGTGTATATATTAAGTTACATTTTCCTTCTCCTGTGTCTAGGCTGCACACTGTAACCACAGTCAGGAAGTCTTCTGCTGTGTTGGAAATCCATCAAGAGGTATGAAGATGGACACAGCATCACTCATGGACACAATTATTCACTTGTTTGCCTCTTCACTGCTGTTGATGTTTGATTGTGACTACACTTTTCTCTTTATATTATATTTTTATATTTTGTACAATTTCCCTCTTTTCCCTTCAGCCAGGATTTGCTGGGAAATTCCAGTGGCCAAATGGAAATTACATTATAGGATACTATTTAAGAAATATTACTAGGATAAGCCTCCCTGGAATTTTTCTTTTATTATATTTTAAAACCTAATTGTCATGCCCCAAAGTATTAAGTCCAAGATACTAAGAAAAATGTTTCAAAATTTTATTTATTAAGATGTTACTTAATTTCATTATATCATAATTATTATTTTTTAATGTAGGGCCAGGATGGCAGTTTTGGGGTCCATTCAAATGGGTGGGTGATTGTTGGGTGGTTCTTTGACTGGTGGATCTTCTGATTCTTGCAGCCATTCTTCTTTCATGCTGACAGAGGGTCACACTCTAATGGTAGTGATTCTAAAAAGCAGTCCTCTAGGGAAATCAATTTTGCCTTAAATCCCTAATGGAAAACTTGTTATCTCAGAATTTGAGAGCAAAAACAATTCCCACTAATGATAATTTTACCTACATGGATTTTTCCCTTTAAGTTATACCTACTAACATAGTGGATGGCATTAATTACTAGCTATAATTACTCAAGAAACAAATTTAGTGAAAATAGTTATATATAAGTATTTTTTTATTTGTTTATTCTTTGTTACCTTTGTTCTTGCTTTTGTTCATCGGTTGTTTTCAACAAACACCATGTGAGGTGTACAGGTGAAGAAATGCAGATAAGGATGGGATAGAATGATTTCAAAAGGCAGATGTCTGCCCCTTAAGAACTAATGAAAGGGGCAGGCATGTAAATACTAGGTCCAAATTGGCCTTCAAGACATGTCTATCTGATCTTTCCTAATACAAGGAATACGGCCATCTTCCTTGCAGTTCTTTTCATTCCAGTTCTAGGCAGATGTCCCCCATGCTCCCTGCTCCATTCATCTCCTCCTTCTGCTATGACCCTAAATCCTGATCAACAATTCTGATCCTACCTTTCTAGTAACAGCTGGTGAGAGAAGAGGGAAAAGGAAGGGAGAGGTCCCTCCAATGCCCTTGATAATTTCTCCACTCCTTCCTTCTGAGGATGTATAGAGATCAGATCCTCCTCCAAGGCTCAGCCCTTGGTATATGGTCTTGGGTTTTTGCCTGTTAGTTTTCTCCGGAGTTGGAGTGAAGAGGGAGTTGATGTGCATCCCTGGTTTATGATAAGGGCTCAGTAGATGTGTGTATAAAACAGTTTCTGATTAAAGCAAAAGAAGTGATGACTCTGCCTGGGGCTTGGAACTGGTTACTCAAGTGGGGACAAAAGAGGTAGGATTACCATTAGAATAGAACAGCAAGGGACTTATAGGCAAATGAGTAAAATACAGAGAAAGAGTGTGCTATCTCAGGTAGAGGGAGTCACAGGTTCAGAGCATAGTCAGACTGCCTGTGCCTGCAGCTCACCACCCTTCAGCAAACCTGTAAAACAGGGATAGTAACAACATGTTCACAGGGTCCTGTGTAACAACAGGTTCACAGGTCCCTGTGAGGCTTAGATGAGAAAATATGCATGTAAATCACTTAGCACCATGACGGCAATGGAGGAAGTAGCCTTACCTATGAGCAGTTCCTATAATTATTATGAACATGCATGGCGGTGGTCAGAATTGAGGCACGAATTTATGGTCAGGCCGGGACCTTATTGTTGACACTAATGTGAATCTCAACTCAAAGGGGATAGGAACCCTGTGGGATTTTAGGCAGGGAAAAGAAGTAACTAGTTTGAGGGAAGAGTGGAGGGTGGATTGTTTTGCATGGGGATAGGGTTCAAGAGGTTGGGAGACCAATCAGGCAGCTTTATAAAGAAATGGCAGTTTATGCGGGTCTGAATTAAGTAAGGACTGGTAACAGACATGGAGATGAGAATACAGGTTTAAAATATTTTAAGTGGGAGATCTTGACAGTTGATTGGGTGGGAGGTGGAGGAACCAAGGATGACAGGGAGGCATCTGCTTAGGAAACAGTGAGGTTAGTGGTGTCTGCAAAGGGGCAGTGTGCAGGAGGGGAGAGGGATGGGGGCAGACGACAAATCATATTTGTGTTATTTGTCCACAAGACAGATGAAGAAATTTAAAATAATAGGTAAACATAATCTAAAATTGTACCTGATGTGTGGGGATTAGAATTTGCAAGTTAAGCAGGTAGGAAAAGAATGAACATTAAAGGATAAATTGCTGGTTTCTAAGTCCTCAAGAAAATGAAGAATGTTTTGTTCTGTTTTTGAAGGAATAATTATGGAAGTGAATGATGGAGGGAAGTAGAAAAGAACATTCAGATTAGTATCTAGAAAGTACAATTTGACACTGACATTGTACAGAGGTCCCTGAAAGTAGAACACCTCCTGTCATTCATTGACTGTTTAACTAGGGTGTGGTCTTTTACACAGCTGGGAAAAGGACGTACAAGAAAGGATTAGTATAGTCGTGGGGGGCAGAGGGAAGAGTGTAAACACTAGGAGCTTTGGGGGAAGATCTGAAAATTGACTTCTGCTTCCATTTGAAAAATATGATTTAAAAAGTGATTCTACACGCTCTGGTTCTACATCTTTTGAGTGACACTTTGGGAGCTGGGAGACACCAGAATTGTTACCAGTATTGATAGGGAAGGAGAAAGTCCTTAGGGTAGAATGGAGAAGAAAAAGAATGAGCTCTTGAGGGTTGGCTTGAATATACCAGGCTGTTGGTGGATAATTGCCCCTTCCCCTGGGGATTCCAATGATTTGAGAAAGCTCTATGTAGTCCCCAAACACGTCTACAAATTCAATTTAAGCTTACTTTAGCTTAGAAAAAAGACATATCACATTTTGTGCTGGCGAGGCTGTATGTAAGAAACTCTGAAACCTTGAGCATACACAATGCCTCGTCTCCTTTAGGTCTAGTAACGGTCCGGTGCCTGCCATGGGAAGGGCCCTGGGAAACTGAATGGTGGAAATCAAATCAAAAGAGTAGCTCTCAGGTTTGAATCGGGAGAGATGTGGGAGTATGGAATAGAGTACCTTATCTAGAGTGAAAAATTCTAGATCCTTAATTTATGCTTTATTTTAAATTCACTTGCTTTTTTAGCTTAGAATTGGAATTATTAATGACTCATTAATAAATGAATAAATAAATGATTGTGAAATGGGGATTAAGAATAGAAATGCCCAATTACCTTCAAAGGTTGGATTTCAAGAATCATAATTAAATCCAAAAATATTTTGATTCTTTTTCCAAGTAGAGTGAGGGAATAGGAATATATTATACAGCAAAACCCAATTATTTAACTCTCAAGAAATGCAGTTGTTTCAAGAATCAAGCCTTATACTTATTTAGAACTGAAATGGTAACTAGAATTTTTGTCTCATTTATGCTATCCTGGAAAAACACAGTATCATCTTTAATGATTTTTAGTAATATGATCCCCAAATCTGCCAATGGGAGTGCTTCTCCATTTAAGTTAGTGCAAATGAGGAAGGAACAAGAAGGGGGATGGAGAGAAGAAGAGGTGGAGAGTGAGTGGGATATTGAAGGGATTGCTGATGCTTGCAGAATAAAATGTCTTAAATTCTGCTGAAATGTCAGAGGATGATTTATCCAGGGTGAGGATATATGCCATTATCGAAAAAAGGTTAGTGAAGGTAGCATGAGCTTTTGATAATAACTAATTTTGTAGAAAGTGAAGCAGGCCTGTTGCCCAGAAGGCCAAAGGATTGACTTTTCTGCACTCCATTTGTGAAAAGGAGCAAATGGCAAGAAATATAAGGGCTGTAAGGGATTTGGTAAGAAAACATTGGCAGGATGCCCAATGTCAAGCCATAAGCCCACATAGCAAAGCCACCAGTCACCACTGTGACCTTGAATGATTTTTCAAAGATTTTACAACTTTCAATATTCATTAGGTTGTGGAACTCTCAGGAAGATATACTTGAAATAATTTTATCCAAGAGATTTAAATCAGAATAAGCATTGGCTTTTAAAGTACTTTTCTTGATTGCTTTGAACCTGGTTTTCTTAACCATGCCAGAAAGATGAGACGCTATAGTCATTGTATATAGGGACCTTTCCAATTTGGTCATAGACTATATATATATATATATATATATACATATATATATGCACATGTGCACAAACATGTATGTATACTCTCACATGTACCAAAGGCTCTAGAAAAGACAAACACACATTATATACATTACATGAAACATATTTGAGAGCAAAAATTATTCTAAATTATATATTTGCATTATTATTGCTTTTGCTCTAAATACTGTATTTACTTATTCAGCTTTGAATTCTGGAAGCTTTTATTAAGTGTCTGCAATGTACACAGTCTTGAATGTTTTGAGAGATACAAAAGAAGGGGAGGATGTGTTTTTTAAGAATTTGGAGGTTTGGCAAAGTCTTGACTTCTATTTATATTGCAAATGATTTTAACAGTAATAATTTTTATTTTTATTTATTTTTTCACTATATCATTTTAATCCCAGATCCAGCTTTGCCATGAAAATCTCACTTATTAAAACAACTAAATTTCAGTTTTTGCTTAAGCTAGTTTGAGTTGTCTCCTGCAACACAGTTTTGACCAACAACTGTACTATATTTGTGGAGGAATAAATATAGATGGGAATCCATAGACACCAATAGGTTTTATTTTGATGGGATACTTTGAGAAACTGTAAAATGTCAGGACAAATCCTGGGAACTGATTTGTATATATGCCTCTGTGCCCTGGTTGAGGAGAGAAATATGGAGCTTCCGCCAAGTCCTCCAGATACAAATTCATTCATTGCTGGGTCAAGGATCTCCTGTAATCTCTAGGAGTTTGAATGATTGGTTTGAGCAAAGGGAAAGTTCACAAATCTATTTTCTTTCCAGAATACAACAAAATTGG